CACAGATGGTAGTCTGTAGTGATGAAATAAGCATAGGGGCTATGAAGTCCAATGGTCCACGTAGGATTGCTAACTCACTCTGTGGTTTTCTGCAAATTCCTTACCCTTGCCAAATCTCAGTGGATAACGGGACATGTTTCATAGTTTATTTGAGAGGAATGAGTAAAATAATAAGCATAAAACTTATTTCATAAGGTCTATTATAAAATCAGTGTTCACTAAATGTTAGCCATTGTTACCTTAGGTTATTTGTAAGTTAGACAAAAGAAAAATCACTAGGGCTTCTGAATAATGTGAGATCATTTTGAAGAAATAGTTTGAAATACCTTGATTTTTTCTTATTTAAATTGAGTACTGGGCCAGCCCGTGGCTCACTCAGGAGAGTGCGGTGCTGATAACACCAAGGCCACGGGTTCGGATCCCATATAAGGATGGCCGGTTGGCTCACTTTGGTGAGCGTGGTGCTGACAACACCAAGTCAAGGGTTAAGATCCCCTTACCGGTTATCTTAAAAAAAAAAAAAAAATTGAGTACTGCAAACTATTTCCTGCATTAATTCATACAGTAGGAAACATATTTAATACTTTCCTTTATGGGTAAGTAATGATTTAGGGAGATTTCAACTTTTCCTTTCATTCTTTTTCAAAACTGGTTTTTGCTCATGGAGGTCATATATTAGACATAAAATAAAGATGTTTTCATTATAGCTTATTTTCCCTAGATTTTAAATCAGGGATAACATATTGGTGTTGAAATCAAGATAGCATTGTGAAAAGAGCACTGGACTTGGGTCCTGGTTCCTACTTAGGTTTTCTAGCTTCACTTCTCTCATTTGTTTGTTTTGTTTTTTTAAAAAGGATAATGACACCGGCCCTTCCTATCTCAAAAAATAAAATTAGTAAATCTTCATGAAAATGTTTTATAATTGACAGAATTCTATTTGAAAACAAGATTTAAAAACTTAAACGGATACGGTAACTTCAAAACAACTTTTACAACACTTGATAGACAATTAATTGATACAATCAAACTAATCTTGTGTTTGGTATCACCAAGAAGATTTAGGAAAAAAAGAAAACAGTGTTGAAAAGATAAAGACAAGAATTTGCTGTTTAAAATTATTTGCAGACAAGTGATTTGCTAAATATATAGTCAATATCAAGAACTGATTTTCATTTACCATCACGCAATTTTGTTATATGATTTAGCGCTCACCTTATCTCCACTAAGCGTGCTCCTAGACTTTATAGATAACAGATAGGGAATGCTCATGAATGACCAGAGACTGACTCACCAGAGGAAAACCAAAAAGCCTGAATAAGGAAACTCCAGTAAGAAATGACCATCATTGTAGAGAGAGTTGTTTCTTTACTGTGGGTGCTGTGTTTAGTGGATGTTCTGGCTAAACATTCCTGTCAAAGGACATTTTTACACCCATTTGCACACAGGGTACCACTGGGGTTGGGGATGGGTTGTATGGGCCAATTAGCAAGAGAAGTGGAAGCTGGGTTCAGTTTCCATTTGCTGAAAAGGACTCTGGTGAACAGCCACAGTTCTGCCACATTCAGCCTAGATCAAATTTTACCTTCTCTGGTAGCTATTTACTATTAATTTCATACAGTAGTGATTTTGCTTTCTACAGGGATCCTATTATATTGAGCTGGGCCAAATATCTGTCTCTGAATTTTCTTATTTATTTACTTATTTTTTAATTTTTTGCCACAGAACAAGTCTTAATACATTTAAAAAGACTGAGATCATAGAAGATAATAGAAAATACGTTCTGTGACCACAATAACAGAAGGAAATTTAGAAAATTCACAAATGTGTGGAAATTAAATAACAATCTCCTAAATAAACATGCACAAAAGAAAATCACAGGGAAATTAGAGAGTACATTGAGATAAAAATCAAAGTGCAACATATCAAAATTTATAGGATGCAAGTCTCATGCAGTGCTTACAGGAAAATTTATACATCTAAACACCTATTTTAGAAGTAAGAAAAATCTCAAATCAGTAATGTAAACTTCTACCTTAAGGAAATAGAAAAAGAAGAGCAAACTAAACCAAAAGCAAATATAAGTAGGAAATAACAAAGATTACAACAGAAATATATGAAATAGGGAATTAAAAAACAATGGAGGAAAACAACAAAACGAAAAGTTGATTCTTTAAAAAGATTGACAAAATTTCCAAACCTTTATTGAAACTGACCAAGAAAAAAGATAGAAGACCAAAATTGCCAAAATCGGAAATAAAGCAGGGGTATTATTATATTGTTATTATGGTTTTTTGTGGTGGTAAGATTTAGTTTTTTTCTCTTGTTCGTTGGCATTTTTGTTCTACCAGTGGGTTTTGTTCTTTCTTGTGTATTCATGGTAGTGATTACTGTTTTTTGGATTCCAGATGTAGGACTTCCTTGAGGATTTCTTGTAAAGCTGGTCATGTGGTGGTGAACTTCCACAGTTTTTGTTTGTCTGGAAAGTACACTATTTCTTGCTTATTCCTGAAGTTTACTTCATATCCTTGCTGGGTATAGTAAACTTGGCTGGCAGGTTTTTCTTTTAGCATTTTGAATAGATATCCCATTTTCTTCTGGCCTGTAGAGTTTCTTTTGAAAAGTCTGCAGTTAGTCTGATAGGGGCTCCCTTACATTGACTTGACACTTTCCTCTGCTTCTTTTATTCTCTCTTTGTCTTTGAACTTTGCCAGTTTGACTATACTGTGTTTTGGAGTCTGTTTGAAGGTCTGCATCTCTCTCTATACTTGGGAAATTTTCCATTATCATTTCATTGAATAGGTTTTTCAATGCCTTTTCCTTCTCTTCCCCTTTTGTCTTTTTTTTTTTTTTTTTCATGTCCGGCAACGGATTGCAACCCTCAGTGTCGCGCCCGTACCGGACCGGGACTGGCAACGGGATCGCAACCCTCGGTGTTGCGCCCGCACCTCGCTCAGCCAGTGAGCGGGAACCGGTCTGTATGTGGGATCCGAACCCTCGGCGGGAGCACCGCCGCGCTTCCCAAGCGGCGCACTGTAGCAGTGCGCCACCAGGCCAGCCCCTTCTCTTCCCCTTTTGGAACACCCATAATTTAAATGTTTGTGCACTTAAACTTGAGCTCTCTTAGATTTTCTTCAGTTTTTAAAGTTCTTTTTCCCTCCTCCACCTGGGTTATTTCAAAAAAGCTATCTTCTGTCTTCAAGATCAGAAATTCTTTCTTCTGCTTGTTCTAACCTGCTGCTTAAGCTCTCAGTTGTGTTTTCTTTTTTTGTTAGTGAATCTTTCAGTTCCACGAGTTCTGCTACATTCTTTTTTAAGGTATTAGTCTTTTTGTAAATTTCCTACTTCATATCCTGGATTTTTTTTTTCTTGTTTCTTCATGTTGTCTGAGTCTTATCATATCTCAGTGAGTTTCTTTAAGATTGTTGCTTGGAATTCCTTTTCAGTCATTTCAAGGGTTTCCTGCTCTATAGGGTCTGGTATTTGTGAATTACTGTATTCTTTTGGTGGTGTCATATTTTCCTGGGTTTCCATATTTCTAGTATCTCTACATTGATGTCTGGTCATCTTGTAGAGCAGTTTCTTCTTCTATTACTCTGGAGTGGATCTGAGCAAAAGCTATCCCCTTCTTTTTCCAGTCTCACCTGGTGACTCCCCTTGTGTCAATGCAGTCAAGTGTCCAGAAGGCCACCTGCATGGTGTCTATGGCTACTACTGTGGCAACAAGTTGCTTTTGCAGAAGCCATGGCTGTGGCACTACCTGTAGTGGGCTACCCATGTCGAAGTGGTGTTTTTGTACTCTCTCTTGCTTGCTTCTAGTTGGAGAGGGCTGCCCTAAGCTCCTGCTTAGGACCCCAGGCATTGCACTTTTACCTGCTTCCAGGTGGATGGGGCTGCCCTTGACTCCTGCCTAGGACCTTGGGCATTGCTATCTTTGCCTCTATCACTGAATTTTCTAGTTCTAAATGTATACCAATTAAAAGTTTTGATAATTTAGGGCCTTCCTCAGTTCTATTGAATTACAGTCTATGGGGTGAGGTTTTGGCATGTCTATTTTAATTAGTGTCTCATTATTCTTATGCAATAAGCCTGGTATTTGCAGGCACATGAGGTTTCATTCCAATGGTGTTTCTATATTATAATTATTATCCTTGGTTCAGTAGGCTGCGATAATAGAAAGGATTAGTAGAGAGGTGATAGTTTTGATTTCCCTGCATCTGTTGGACAAAAATTGGGGTGATTAGTCCATTAGTAAATTACAAACCAGCATATTTTAAGGTAAGCAATGCCTAATTGTAGTAGACCCAGGCAAGATGGTTCAGATTAGAAATATGTAAAGAAAATAAGACTTGAGAAATGGTTGGATTAACTTGAGATTTTTATTCTAGAGAAAATAAATTTTACTGGAGACAGAAGAATATTCATCTCCAAGTATATGAAAGTCTGTGAATTGGTAAAAGGATAAACTTCTTTATTTTATAGTCTCATTGTCTCTGATGGTTGACAGCTTCATGAATGTAGTTTTCAACTCTAGACAAGTAGAGCATCCTGACAATCAGAACTTTACAGCAATGAACATGCTTCCTCATGTAGCAGTGATTTTTATTATCTGTGTTCTAGTAGAGCTGGGCCCAGGAGACATTATGGTACATTTATGAAAAAAATGGGCTGGAAAACCCTCATTCTAGGAATGACTTCTTGGAATAAGAGGTTTCCTTTTGAGGAACTTTGGAAAAGAGACCGATATAAAGAACTTGCATGGTACATAGACTAGTTCCCAGTGGCTAAATACTCCAGTAGAGGGTAAGGTGTTCATTGTATTTGTACATGTGTATGTGTGCATGCGTCCATGTGTGCATGTGTTTCTTGGAAGCCATTTGGAATGCTTTGTAAAAAATTTTCTCCTGAACAGCAAGACCTTTATGTTCCTCAAGTTTTTATAATTGAGATTTTATCTATGAAACAAATACAAGCAGAAGTAAAGGTAAACTTTCTGGGAAGACTCTTTTATTGACATATAAAAAAAAGCCAGCCTGTCACTGAGGCATGAGTTTGCAAGGGAAACACAATGACTTTCTCCATTCAGTAAAGATGATTCGGAATCTAGCTCTGCTCCCATCCAGAACATCGGGGAAGATGAAGGAAAGTCAGTCAGAGCCCAGGGATGATGAAGATGATGATGAATGTATCATTGCTCTCTATCCACGTCCATGGAGAAGTTAGCAACTTCCTTCATGAAGAAACTGAACTTTTCCATTACTTTTCCTAATGGAAGACACAGTTAACAACATTCATTAAAACTAGAGGAAATTTATGGGCCGGCCCGTTGGCGCACTGGAGAGTGCGCCGCTTGGGAGCGCAGCGGCGCTCCCGCCAAGAGTTCGGATCCCATGTGGAGACCAGTTCCCGCTCACTGGCTGAGCGAGGTGTGGGAGCAGCACCGAGGGTTGCGATCCCGTTACCGGTCAGTAAAAAAGACAAAAAGGAAAAAAAAAAAAAAAAAAAACTAGAGGAAATTTTATATAATATTGGAGCTGAAATGAACTATAGAGGTTATGAGCCAAAACCTTGTTTTGTAGATGAAGAAACTGAGTCCCAGAAAAGAAATATCCTTGCCACTGGCAGTTTCTGACAGAGGAAGAAGCAGAATTTCTCTATAATTTCCAGAAATATATTTCCAGTGATAATTTCTATCTACTGCCTCCTATGATCTCAGAGTCTACTGATCACCCAGGGTCTTATAAAAACAGAAGGAGGACTCTGACAATGGAAGTTCAGGTGTCCTGTCCCTCAGCTTTCCTGGTCAGTAGGTGGATCCCGCCTCAGTGAGGAGGAGTTCCAACGTGTTTACCTTTAAGTGTCTCTTGAACTCAGCTAGTTTTTTTTTTTTTTCCTTTTTGTCTTTTTTCGTGTCCGGCAACGGATCGCAACCCTCAGTGTCGCACCCGTACCGGACCGGGACCGGCAACGGGATCGCAACCCTCGGTGCTGCTCCCACACCTCGCTCAGCCAGTGAGCGGGAACCGGTCTGTATGTGGGATCCGAACCCTCGGCGGGAGCGCCACCGCACTCCCAAGCGGCGCACTGTAGCAGTGCGCCACCGGGCCGGCCCGAACTCAGCTAGTTTTTTGGCCCAGGGCCCAGTATATGTCAATGCTAGAGAATCTTTCATTTTGTGAAATAAAACTTTATGAATAGAAATAAAAATGTAGACACGTCTTTCTCAGCTCAGGGCCTAACTTGATATTCTACCTTGTTAAGAACATCACAAAGACAAAAAACACAAGATATAAGATAAGTGGCCAAAATTCATCCAGTGACCTAAAAGAGAGTTAGCAATGATCAAAAAGACTTAGTGGGAGACAATAAAGAAGTGACATCTGCCTAGCTTACATTTCTTCAAAAAGTCTATGAAGGCCAAACAGAATACCTAAGCAAAACATGTCCATGGGATTCTGGTCCACGTACTGACAGCTTGCATCCCTTAGGTTAGATAAAACAATCATTTTGGTAGCCTTATTCATGCTTAAAGCTACAGATATACAGAGCCTACAGGAAATTGAGGGTAAAGGACCTCTAGCCAAGTTTGTCTAAGAATCAAGCTATGTGAAGGCCGTTAAGAATGTTAGATGTCATATAGGGTAATGGCTTTCAAATACTTTTTGGTGTGGAATTCAAGACCCTTTCTTCAAACAAGATATTGCATGGAAATCCAATACTTAAAATAGTCAGAAGCTGAACTTGGAGCTGGAGACCTCCCCAAATGGTCCCCTTAACCCCTTTGGTGACTCCTGATGTGCCTCTACAGATCATCTGGACTCTGGGGAACAGCAGTTTAAGAACTCATGGTCTTGTTGGATTTCCACAGTTGACAGACAGGAATTGGAGATTCTTTGATGGGATAGGACTAATCCAAGCTGGCAGAGCAGGTGGCCCAACCCTGGTTTGAGTGTGACAGTCAGTTTTCTATTCCCACCTACTGTTGTGGGTGGGAATAAGTACAGCATATGGAGAGTTAAGCAGGCGTCTGGAAAAAGGAGGAATTTGTAGTGGAGAACACTGGCACCAGATCTCACTTTCTTGCTATGAGGTACTTACAAGCTCTCGGTACACAAGTGACATTCATTCCCATAGGTGATGTAGTCAGAACCACAAACTGGCAGGTATGTGATGGGGCAGGGGATGGCCACTACTGGGTACTTCTTATAAATGCTGCAGTCCACCTGTGTCAGACATAAGAGAATGTCCTGCTTTTCTCCCAGATCTCAAGCTAGGCTACCCTGGCCTTTATTAGACAGGCTACGAGAGTTCCAGATCAGGTATTCTGATGCTGCTGTGGCTGCTTCTATTTGTACTAATATTACCACTATGATAAATATTGTACTACTAGCACCACTTCTATTTTTCTTCTACACTCAGTGAGCAGTTATTGGGCATTTCTGTGCCATTCACTAAACTTAAATCTTATGTGAATTTTCTTTGTTTAATCTTCAGAACAACTGATAGGATAGGTTCTACTCTTACCTTGATTTAGATGTGGGGAAATTAAAGTTTAGATAGAGAGATAACTTGTATAAGGTAAATGCTGGTAAGTGGTAGAGTTGGGATTTGAATCCAGAGCCTGGGCAATTAATCAAGGTAACTGCCCTGTCTCTCACATGCTGTCCCTCCATGAATATTTCATCAGCCTCTCATGGAAGTCAGCTCTCTCTCCTTTAACTCTGGATTTAATTTTTTTTTTTTTTTTTTTTTTTTAGGATATGGTTATTTATGTGTGTGTCATATTTTTTCAACTGCCTTCTGGAGAGCAGAGGTCATTTTTTCATCTGTGTTTGTCTTCCCCTTTAATCCCCCTAAACATATTGAATTAGTCCTACATATTTGCTGACTAAGTGACAGTCAATAGGAGTTGAAATTAAAATGTTATTCAAATACTCACCGTTGTTAAAGACAGACTGGTGGCTTCTGAAAAGATATAGACGGAAATGTTTAAAATAAAGCAATACCTTGAAATCTCATTAATTAATGTAAGTTTTGTCCTATAATTAAAGACTTTGCCTTTCCTCTGGCAATGAGTCTCGGCACACTCCCTATCCTTAAGCAGAAACCCAACTGTTTACTGAGGAAGTTGGACAGCCAGTGGGTTTGGTAAGCTCTTGATTCAGGTAGTGGAATTATCCAAATTTCCTCCCTTTATTGACCAAAGAATGTTTTTTGGAGCTGACATGTCTTTTATAATGGCTTATAGTCATATAGCAAGAAGAGGTATTGCAGTCACCACTACTAAGAGCCTGAAACACCATCTTTGATATCCTCTCCCTCCTAATTGATATAGAGGAATATAATGGAATTTCTTTAAGATGTTAGAAACTTATTTTAATTAAGTAATTTTTCACTATGTAGAAGTATCATTGTTGACTCCCAGATTTTAAAGAATTGTGTTTTATTTTGATCCTCCTAAACTGATTTGGGTAGACATCCAAGTATTTCTGGATCTTTGCACTGAGGAATAGTATCTAATAGCACAGACAGTGTCCTAATAAAATAGAAGACTTATGGAGAAATTAGATCATTCTTTGTTGTTGTTTCATGAATGCAAGTAAGAATCCTTGAAAGGGAAGAAATTAGACTCAGTCCCTCAAATTGCAGCCAGAACATACAATCCTCCCTTCCCGGGACAGGGCTATTTCTATTACAATCCAGTACAGTTTAAATCCACACAACCTGACATTTCCTTCAGATGCTCACATCCCAGGAAAGATTATTGGATAAGGTTTAAGGTTAATGGCTGTATGGGACATTGTCCACCTTTAACTCACCTGAATTGCTGCAGAAATGGGTCACTATACAGAGTAGAAGGAGAGTCCCAATGATTTTCATGATGGAGATGGTTGTGACACAGAGGCTGCTCTGAGATTGTCGCCACAGTAAGCCCTGACCTAGGAAAGGAGTCATACTTATATGGCAAGGCTTGGTTTATCCACCTTTCCTGTGAGGTCATTCAGAGTCAGTGTTGGCTCTGGGAGAACCTCACAGCACGGTGTCACACCCTAGGCTGTGTTGCAATTCTTGTCACTTAATTGCTGCTTCCTATCTGAGCAACAAATTGGTTATTTGAAGTGAGAAGTGTTTTTCTGTCTGTTCCATAGGTGGAGACTGTTAAGAATTCTAAACCTCATATAGTAGAAGAGATTAAATATGGGCTGCCTGACCTAGTTATGAAATAAGTGAAAATTTAAAACTTCCTTTATTCCATTAAAATGGAAGATATTAAACCCAGATTAGACAGATTGTACCTATGCTTATATTTTGGCTCCTGGAAAAATATCGTTTTATTTTTGAGGTAAGAAATCTATGAAGCAAGCTGGAACTTAGTGGAAGGAACAGTGACCTTAGCATTTATGAGGCTTGGGGAAGGGCATTTACATATTAGCTTTGACATTTTTCTCCTGTGTGATCTTGTGTAAGTCATTTATATGCTGTGAGCTTGTATTAATCAAGAGGGCTTGGTTATGATGAGGTAACATATAATACCAAGGCTTTTGTGACTTTAAATAACACAAGTTTGTTTGTCTCTTACTCAAGCTACACATGTATGTATGGTGGTCAGCTGATGGTACTACATTGCCTTCACTCTGGATGCCATGTGGACAGAGTAATCACTATTTAGAGTACTGTTGTCCAAGTAAGACAAAGGTGAGTTCTCAAGGATTCCCCTTTCCAGCAATAAAATATTCCAGCCCAGAAGTGACACCACTGTCACTTCCCCTCATGGTGATTTGGCTGTCGTGTGTTCTCCCCCAACCACAGAGGTTACAGAGTTAGTGTGATTATGTTAGCTTGTCCCCTGAAGGCCTGAAGGGGGAATAGTTGACGAACAGAACAGAGACCACCCCAGAGACTGGATTTGATGCCCAGTCCAGTGGTCTTTTTGTTAGCCACAACAGAATTTACATAATTGGAGCATTTGCATGAAAGCCTGTTCTAAAGAGCAGTGCATTTAATTATGTTATTGTGATTATTACTATTATTGACAAGTCAAGAGTTGATGCTATGGATTGCTGACATTAGATGGTAGACTGTATTGTCCAAATGACTGCCGTTTGTCTATTGAGCTTAAGGACATATGTGTGAAAACCTGGGAGAAGCAGTGACTATTCCATCAGTCCATTGCTTAGCAGGGTTGTTTTAGTGCATTCTGAAACACAGCCTTTACAAAAGATATTGAGTGAATAATAAATGACATCACATGACCCCCTAAAATTTGAACTCTTACATCTGTTTGGGGGGCTATATAACCTAGTGGTTAAGAACATGGCCATTGAGTCCAGTGATCTCATTTGGAATGTTCCTTTTTTTTAAATTTATTTATTTTTAATTTTTTTTCTTATTGAAACATAATTGACTGTACATATCTGTGGCATACTACATTGAATATCAATACATGTGTGCAATATGTGGTGTTCAAAACAGGATAATTAGTATATATAACACTACACAATGTAATCATTTTTTGTGGGTCTTTGCCAATTTCTCACTAAACCTCCCTCCTCCTCCTTTCCCACCTCTGGTAACCTCAGTTCTGTTCCCTGCTTTTGAAAGTTCAAAGTATTGCTGTGATTATTGTAACTTTTTTTCTTTTTTATAACACTACACAATGTAATCATTTTTTGTGGGTCTTTGCCAATTTCTCACTAAACCTCCCTTCTCCTCCTTTCCCACCTCTGGTAACCTCAGTTCTGTTCCCTGCTTTTGAAAGTTCAAAGTATTGCTGTGATTATTGTAACTTTTTTTCTTTTTTAAATTTTATTTAATTTTTTTAGCTCCCACTTATGAGTGAGAACATGCGGTATTTCTCTTTCTGTGCCTGGCTTATTTCTCTTAAGATAATTTTTTCTAAGTTCATCCATGTTGCAGCGAATGGCAGAATTTCATTCTTTTTTATGGCAGAGTGGAATCTTCCTTCTGAAAAATGTTAACTGTGTGCCTTTTAGTGTGTAGGTTAATCTCTGGATACTTTAATTTTCTCACCTTTGCAACAGAAATAATATTTACCTCACAGGGTGCTTTGAGTGTTAAATGCAATTTTATACACACACACACATGCATAAAATCTCTTACGGTTATGCGTGTGTGTGTGTGTGTGTGTGTGTGTGTGTGTGTATCTGGATGCCAAGCTCATACTTAGATCTTGATATATGATAGCTAATGATGTTATGTGATCTTCATAATAACTCATTAAGGAAGGAATTTTTATTACCCTAATTTTACCAGTGAGTAAGTTGAGGCTCAGAAGACTTAAGTAATCTTCCTAAGATTATAATACCAATTAATGGAGGAAACTGTGCTGAGTTCAGGCATGGAAAAGAAGTGAAGTGAAGGTTCTAATAAAGAGAGGTAATTTTAAGTTTTACTCTTTGGTATCAAAGTTTTAAGAGAATGAATACTGAGAAAAAGCCATTATCTTTCAAGATGAGGTGCCTTTATTGCAGTTTGAAAATGCAATTTTAGCAAAGAGGAGTGAGAATGAGACCAAAGGTTGATCATGAGGATGTGGAAGAATAGGATCACAGAATCATTTTTAGGCATTTGATAGTCAAGAAGAGGAGGGGAATGGAAAAATCTGAAGATTCAGCAAGGTCTAAGACAGACCGAGCATGTGTGAAAGCCAAAGGAAAGAAGAAATTTGAGATACATGACTAAAGCTAATTAGAGGTGTGTAGAGAAAGGAAATAAGGTTAACAGCATAGATGGACACTATTTCCTCTGATGCAGGAGACAGAGAAGAGTAGATGAATGTAGAGACACATAGTTTAAAAAGTAGGGAAGGAGAGATGAGGGAGGACCCAGTGTAAGGAAGGCTATGGCTGTTAAATGCTGGGGTTGCTTTTTTGCAGCGGAAGAATTGGGTTTGTCTGAAAGCTTGGGAAAGATGGGGAAGGCTTGCCATAGACATCAATGGGAGCATCTCAGATAGTTAACAATGGATATAAAGATTGATGGCCACTAGACAAAGTCAGCACTAGATTTCAGAAAGCCCCATCAGTACAATGCTGCATATTTCTTCAAAGTTCTTTATGATACTGAGTGAGAAATGAGGAACAATGATTTTATGGATAGGGAGTGGGTACATCATAGACTTGAGGGGACATAAAGACTAGGAGGTGACAAGGCTTGGAAGAGTTAAGTGTTCCAGAAGGTTCTAATGGACTGTGTAAGGTATAAGCAGTTAAGTATTTAGAGGTCAAGGTTTAGGCAAAATGCAAACTTAGTAAGTGTGAGGAATATGAACAATTGTTTATGTAGGCTGGGGCTAGGAGGCAAAGGGTCACATTTCATTTCTTAACTATTTAGAGGTCAAGGTTTAGGCAAAATGCAAACTTAGTAAGTGTGAGGAATATGAACAATTATTTATGTAGGCTGGGGCTAGGAGGCAAAGGGTCATATTTCATTTCTTAAGGGTGGAGCTGAGATAATGATCCTCCCAGTGTATCCAAAGATAAAGTAGATAAAAGATGGGTAAAGATAAAGATCTCTGGGTTCAAAAGGGTGAGGAAAAGTGAGGTCAAGGAGTCAGGTGTAGGTTGCTTTGGATTTGGGCAGTTGTTTACATGGAGAGGACATTTTCAAGCAGGACACCAAGTCACAAATTATGAAGGATTCTTTTTAGATTAGAGATGAAGCCTGTGAAAATGAAAACCAATCCATTTCAGGCTGAGGGCCATTTGTTCATTCCTTCTTATATTCCTGCAAGGGGGGAAATCTTGAGGCCTTGTAAGAGAGGATTACTATGGCTGTGGTTCCACACCAGGGAAGGCAGGATAAAATTAATGCAGAACAACATAAAATTGAAGTAAAGCTGAGAATATTTGGGAGTTTCTTCCCTAGTAGATTTAGAGTGCCACAAGGAAGAGCAGGATGAACCATTAGAGGGTTAGAGAAGGATGAGGTAATTAAATTGGAGAAGGGCCTGAATGAAGAGTTCTTGAGTCAGATAGCTGGAGGGAAATAGGGAAGCCAGCACCCTTGCTGGGCAGTAATCCAGGTATAGAATAGTGGCTCTAGGAATGGAAAGTTATAATAACAAAATTAACCATATATTAAACACTTCCTATGTGCTAGAACTGCGCTATACCTGCCGTGTGCATTATCTCTTCTAAAACCTAAAACAATCTTATGAGATAGGTATGATTATCCTCCCTGTTATTTAACAGAGGCAATGGGGACTTAGAGAAGTAGCTAGTTTAAGGCAAAGAGCTGGTGCTTTTTAATCACTCTGGAATATTGCCTTTAAATCTAATCTAAGAGGTAGATTTGCAGACATATTGGACACTGAAATAATAGGAATAAAACTGGCAGAATCACAGCAGTTAGGAAGGACAACTGATTTAAATGAGCAGCAAAAGGAACTGAGCACTGGAGTAGAGTGGGTGGCATTTTCATGTGTGAGGATCATCTGGAAAGAGAGGGGATGACTAAGAGCCAGGAGCCAAGGGTTTCTGTCCTGTCTCCCACCCCCATCTATATCAGAACCCTGACATATACAACAATAAATAAGGCTTAGGAGTGAGGCTAGGTGGGAAAGAGAGGCTGGAATGCTATCACTTGATTCTGTTTTTCCCTCCTCATTGCTTCACCAGCCCCACTCTCAACCCCCAGGGCTCTTTTGCCCTTGACATACAACAAACACACCACCCAACACCCTCAAGGCCTTCTTATGACAGTTTTTAAATTGCTGGTGTAGATTTGGCTGGACTAGCTCTAGTCTTTGTCTTTCTTCTTCCTTCCAGCATTTGGGAGAAATATCTGTTTTACATTAGTGAATTTAAAAAATATAAGTAAAGCTTACTTTACTGTAACTTAAACAGTCTCTCCCAGTTCTTTTTTCCTAATGACTCAGAATCATCTTTAAGTCGAAATCGCTCTGCTGTCT